CTCTTACTGGTCCACGAGGTAGCAGGTGATGGAGGCTGATGCAAAGAGATTCAGGGAAAGGCCTTTTCCCTCTTGGTTGGGATGGGTTCTCTCACTCTCACAGGTCTCTTTCCCTCACTAAATGAGGACAAGTATGTGTGCTACCCTAGTTGCTGCTGGCAGCCATGAGCTAAACAAACTTGAAAAAAAAAAATTGGATACACAGGGAAAGGTGGAGCCGAAAGAACAACTATGAAACTGTACCCCACTTGGTTATGAGATAATAGAGCTCCTTACTAAGAGGAAGGACAGCATCATTGCCAGCAGCATAGATTCTGCAGCCAAACCACCTGGGGTTTGAATCTGACTCTGACACTTACTGGCCATCTTAGCTAGTATAAGTTACTTAACTTCTCTAAGCCTCAAGTTGTAAAATGGGCATAATCATAGTTCCAACCTCATAGGGTTGCTATGAGAATTAAATGAATTTATATATATAAACTCATATATACACAAATACATACATATATCAAGCACTTAGAACAGAGGCTGGCACCTAGTAAACATAAATAAGTGATGGCTGGAATCACCTGAGTCAGGGTGTCTGTGATTTGCTGTGGAAGGCGGCCTGATGGGTATAGGAGAAGGGACAGAACTAGTATAGGAGGACGTCTCTGAGGCATGGAGTGCCAAAGCTGGACTCTGGAAAATTTGAGATGAATGCAAAACATCACATCACTCTAGCTTCTGAAAAGGATGTAAACTCCATTCCATACAAACTGCAGAGAAAAAATGTCCAATGAAGTTAATAAAGGAAGAAAGCACATTAGAAATACCCAGCTGTGTGATACACAGACAGAGAAAGACCAAAGGAGCTCTTGCCCAGGAAGGTGCCACAACTGCAGAGACGTCAGCAGAAAGCCAAAACTGGATCTATGTAAAGAGACACAGATCAAGGCTTGGCCGGATTCTACAGGAAACCCATTTCAGGCCATCCCTGCACTGAGCCAACGGGCCACACGCAGGGACAGAATGACATCTGGTTTCCCATCACACATCCACACCTGCTAACCAACACACAGCTTGAAGGTCTAATTTTAGACTCAGCAGCCGTGACAGCATTTTTTTTTTCTTTAAAAATAGATTGTCCATATTTCCTCTTCTGGGTGCAGTGGATAGCCCTTACTCTCACATTCCCTGCAAAGGAGGGGAATGGAAATAATAATGGGTCCTTTCTTTCATGTCCCCCCAAGATTCCCCACTCATTTAGAATGTCCACCTAAAATGCCATTCTAAATCCATGTCAAGACCTAAGAAAACGTAAGTTTCCCAGAGCCTAAATCACAGCTGTCATTACATCATCCCCTGCTCAGAAACCTTTGTGTGACTGCTTGTTGCCAGAAGAACAAAACCCATTCTCCATAACCTAGAATCCAAAGCAACCCACAGCTTGAGATTCAGTCCATCCTTTAAAAATGTCCATATTCCTGTGTCACCACTTTGCTCAAGGTGGGATCACATATTGGGTAAGTTATTTAACCTTAGCTTCAAAACACCTCAGGTGAAGGATCTAGCTTTGACCTTGACATAATAGGAGTCAATAAACACTGGCCTGCTGTGTCCATCATTAAAAAGAGAGTGTTTTGCAGAGGACAGGAACATAACAAACCAAAGAAAGGAAAAGGTGCAGTTGGTCGAACTTTTTTGCAGAGGAATCTGGTAATATGTATCAAAATATAAAATGCACATAACCTTTGAATTGACCCAGAAATCCCACATGTCCCATCGACCTTAAAAGGTCATTGAATAAGTGAGGAAATATGTAATCATAGGGATTTCATCACAGCATTGTTCATAATAGCGAAAAATTCAGAAACAATCTAAATGCCATTAGGATTGGACCAAGAAACTTATGTAAACAGACACTATTGTTAGATGATGAAAACTGCTTATTTTTTCCTTGAATTTAGTGTTTTTTACAAGATATATGTAACATTTTTTTCCAAAATCAGAATGACTATTTAAAAAATAAGTTTTAAAAACACACAATGGAAAAAGGTCCTGCAGGACATTTTCTTGGATTCTCCAGGACAGTTATTATTTTACAAAGAACTGATGAAGGTTTAGTACTGCTTTTCAGACCAGCCGACAGCCCAGGTAGCTGATAAAATGAGGCTAAAATGAGGTATATGAAAGACTTCTGTGCTTTTTGCATAAAATCAGCCAATTCTGTCCTTTTACTACTTCTACAAAAAAAGAAGAAGAAAAGATCTATTCTTTACCCACAACTTTTATAGTTAATCCTAAACATCTATGTTCTATGTGAAGCTCTTGACATGAGAGAGACTAAGAAGAAAAAAGCTAGTGGGTGGTTCAGAGCAAGCCCACCTCAGACGCTAATAAGACTTGGCATTCATACTCACCCAGTGTGCTGCTGGAGCATTCTAGAATTATCACTATAGGACCAAAATTATGGGGAGCAGAAATGATTTGAACAAGTGATGGGGCTTCAGATGGATTTTAGATTTCTGATTTTTAGTTATTTGGGTTTGAGGGCTTTATTTCCCTTAAAATGACAGGTAAATAAAAATCTCAAACCATATAAAACAGAAAAACATACAGTAAATTATCCTCTGAAATCACAGTTCACAGCAATAATCACTATTAACACGTGGTGCTTGTTATAGTTTGCTTTTGTTTGTAAACCTATTTCAAAGGAATTAATCATTTCTCACCCATTATACCGGCAAAAATAAAAAAGTATGTTAATATTAAGTCCTGGCAATATTGTAGGAAATGAGCTTTCATGGGCTGCTGCTGACAGTGTAAATTAACTTATTAATATATTGGTGACAGAATCTGTATAAACTTAAAAGATGCATGTCCTGAGAACCAGCCACGTAACTTTCTTTTATCGAGGAATAATTCATATACCATGAAATTCACCCCTTTAAGGTATACAGTTCAGTGGTTTTAGTATTTTCAGAGGTGTACAACCATCAACGCTGCTTCCAGGATATTTTCATCACCCCAAAGAGAAATTCCATACCCATCAGCAGTTCACTCCCTCTTCTCCTGTCCTCCTTGCCCATGGCAACCACTAATCTACTTTCCGTCCCTATGGATCTGCCTGTTACGGACATTTCAAATCAACTGACTCAAACAATATATGGTCTTTTGTAACTGGCTTCTTTCACTGAAAACAGTGTGTTCAAGCTTCATCCACGTTGTAACATGAATCATTACTCCATTTCTTTTTATGGCTGAATAATATTCCATTGTATGGATATACCACATTTGGTTATATATTCATCAGATGAAGGACATGTGGCTTGTTTCCACATTCTGCCTGTTACAAATAATGGGGCTATGAACATTCCTGCAAATTTTTGTGGATTTTTTCAACACAATGTAGAATTGCTGGGTCAAGTGGTAACTCTACATTTAACTGTTTGAGGCACTGAAAAACTGTTTTCCACAGCAGCTGCACCATTTACATTCCCACCAGCAGTGTGCGAGGGTTCCAATTTCTCCACATCCTTTCCAACACTTGTTACTGTGTCTCTTTTTTATTACAGCCATCCTGGCAGGTTTGAAGCGGTATCTCAATGTGGTTTCAATTTGCATTTTCCTAAACACTAAAGATGTTGAGCATCTTTTCATGTACTTATTGGTCATCTGTATACCTTTCTGGATAAATATCTATTCAAATGCCTTGCCCATTTATTAATTGGGTTGTCTTTTTATTACTGAGTTGTAACAGTCCTTTACATATGCTGGATACTAAGCCCTTATCAGTTATACAGTTTGCAAATAGTTTCTCCCATTTGTTGGGCTGTCTTTTCACCTTCTTGACAGTGTCCTTTGAAGCACAGAAGTTTTTCATTTTGATGAAGTCAATTTTACCTATTTTTTTCTTTTGTTGCTTGGGCTTTTGATGTCATATCTAAGAAACTACCACCTTATCCAAGATCACATAGATTTACACCTATGTTTTTTCCTAAGAGTTTTATAGTCTTAACTCTTTCATTTAGTTCTTTGATCCATTTTGAGTTAATTTTGTATTTGGTGTGAGATAGAGGTCCATCTTCGTTCTTTTGAATGTGGATATCCAGTTGTGCCAGCACCATTTGTTGAAAAGAATACTCTTTCCTCATGGAATTATCCTGGCATATAGCTCTTTAAAATCTACCTGAAGTGTTCTGTAGCTTGATTGTGGCAATGGTTACACAACTGTATATGTGTGTGTTTGCCAAAACTCATTGAATTGTACACTAAGAAGAATAAATTTTGTATGTAAATAATAACTCAATAAACCTGACAACTAAAAATTCTCCTTTAACATAATACCGTATGTCAACTATATTTCAATAATAAAATCAATTCTCCTTTAGAGAAACATTCACATATAGAATATACAAGGATCGTATGCTTCACAAATATTACAGTACTGCTTATATAGATAAGAGTAACTAGAAACCATCTGAACATCTGTCCAAAAGGAAAAAAGCTCAATAGGATGTAGTATAATGATAGGATTGAACACTATGCAGCAGTTCAAAGGAATAAGCTAGATTTTACAGACATCAACTGGATAAAGTTTAGAAACATTCTACTAAACGAAAAAGATAGGTGCACAATGATTTACACAGAATGAAAGCATGTGTGTAAAAAAGAAAATCAAAACCATACTATACAGGTTCCATGAGTATCTGAAGGAAGAATACTCAATACACTGATAACACTCACTGCCTCTGGAGAAGGCAAAAAGGCACCAAATTGGATAAGACAGTCAGAAAGGAGTTGAACTGTCATTTTTCCCCCAAAGGGAAATCTATTTACTGATTACTTGTGTGATTAAAAATTAATAGTATATAATTTATGTGAGTTGTAAACAGAGGTTATAAGTATGGAATCATAGCTTTTTAATATGCGTGCTCATTTGTGCTTCCCCACACCCAACCTACATGCACACACACACACACACACACACACACACACACACACAGAGGTGATCTTACCAATTTGGATTTTCTATACTTTCCCGGAAGACAGACTCTTCCTTCATGGATGCATATTGTGTCCACGTAAGGCAGTGACTCCTTATAGCCATGTTCCTTTCCTGAGGATTGAACCATGATTCCTCTTCTAACTGGACATTAGGTACCTTTAAAATGTTCACCTGTCCAAAAGACAGAAGATGGTTTTCTGAATTTAGGAGGAACAAGCTACATAAGGACTGTGTCCAGAGTTGCTTTTAGTCTTAGGGAATTAAGAGGACAAGTGATCCTGATATATGGATGATGGCTCACCAGTGGCTGTAAGTCCTTGATAATCAAACATACTATGACCTTACTAAATGCTGGTAAAGACATGCAAATGGCCCAGGATTTACACAGCCTGTATAGTCCCTGGCCTGATTTCCCTAACTGCTAAACACTAAGCAAAGTATCAGCCTCCTTCGTGTCTCCTCTAGGGCTGGTTACGGCCTTCTTAAATTGACGGATTCTAATTGGGCCCACTTATGGGCTCACACGCAGGACAGTATCAGATAAAATATTTTCTTCATTTTAAACTCTGCCCAATATCTAGAAATGTATGCTTTCCTAGGTGGAGGAAACATGCAAAGCTACAAAGGCAGAATTGTACAAGTCAGGGTGTTCTTAAATTATTTAAGAATGGAGATACAAGACAAAGTTGAATGCCTTTTTAAATAATAGATGCAAAGCATGTATACAGGGCAAAGGCAGGGTACACACTCTGGGGAAAAAGCCAGCAATAATTTGCTGCACATACTGCAACATATTATTATCTGGAAAATAAAAGAAAGTTCATTTTCATTGTCATATCAGCCTTCTTTCCACTAAAGAAAGCAACAGAGTCTTAATCCATGATAAGAAAGTGATGGAAGCTGCCATGTTTTCTACATACAGCACAGCAAAGCAATTTGCAAGCTAACCGGCAGGAGCCCCGCTGGGTTTTATATCACACACAGGATCACTTCCAGGTTGAAAAGACGGAGACATTTTTAAAAGTACGCAGCAAGACACTCTCCTCTATTTCCTAATGATTCTAAAAGGACTCTTGTCAATAATCCCTCTACGGTTAAAGCAATGTGATTAAAAATTTCACTCACCTTTTTCCAACAATCACCAGAGTGCTCAAGGATTTCAAAGAGAGAAAACAATCTGCTATCATGAAGATTTCATCATCAACACCATTACTTTACAGAAACACATACAAAAAGACTTACAGAGGGTGCCGAAAACACTATACTCTCAAAACCATTCTTACTGACAGTAAAATGGAAACTGAAGCTTTTCTCTTCCTTACTGAAGGTTACACTTAATACTTACCATCTGCCCACTTCTGATCATTCTTACCTAAGAGTCATATCTAACCATGGACAGATTAGAAAAGATGGCCACTTCATGCAAAATGTCCAAAGTATCTTTTAAAATAATTGTTGCCCATCTCTATGTACACTAAGAGCCCTCCACAAAAGAGACAAAACAGACAGGAAAAAAACTCTCTCTGGTAGCACCTGTCAAAACTGAGGTTGGACAGGAGACAGGTTTCTTCCTTAGAAGGGCTCTGAGGTAGGAGAACTGGGGAAGTTCTAACACTCCTTCACATCAGAAAACGCTATCTCTTTCCATGACTATTTGGGAAACGCCCAACGTTACACCAAATCTGATTAAATTTTGAAATGAATTTACCTTCCTTAAAATTTCTGGAACCACATTTTGACAGACTGCAATCCTCTTTCTATAGATGATCCCTGTTGACACATCTAGAAACAGAAAATTTGTACACTCAAAAAAGAACTGACGGAAATGTATTCTTGTTTTAATGTCAATAAAACTTTTAATGTCAATCTCAATTTTCTATATGTAGAATTCCCAGAGAAAATATTTAACTCAAAACCCAGCATCCCTGACCACCTTTCTGGGCCAAATCCCTCCAAATATCTGTAGCAAGGAATAAGGATAAAATAGCTAGCCACTCACACTGCACATTCTAAATTCAAGGACGAAAGAATCGTAAATCGTTCACTGCTCAGGACTATCAATGTCAACACTCCAATGGCCGTGGCCAATGAGCTCCCTGCTCAGCTCCAATGAAGAGAATGTTTTAACAAAACGATGGAGAATCTGATTCTGCCACCTTCTGCACCAAACATGTTTTCAAGCACAGGTTTCTGGCTACAAATTTAAACTTTTTTTTTTTTTACATCTTTATTGGAGTATAATTGCTTTACAATGGTGTGTTAGTTTCTGCTTTATAACAAAGTGAATCAGTTATACATATACATATGTTCCCATATCTCTTCCCTCTTGCGTCTCCCTCCCTCCCACCCTCCCTATCCCACTCCTCCAGGTGGTCACAAAGCACCGAGCTGATCTCCCTGAGCTATGTGGCTGCTTCCCACTAGCTATCTATTTTACGTTTGGTAGTGTATATATGTCCATGCTTCTCTCTCGCTTTGTCACAGCTTACCCTTCCCGCTCCCTATATCCTCAAGTCCATTCTCTAGTAGGTCTGTGTCTTTATTCCTGTCTTATCCCTAGGTTCTTCATGACATTTTTTTTTCTTAAATTCCATATATATGTGTTAGCATACGGTATTTGTCTTTCTCTTTCTGACTTACTTCACTCTGTATGACAGACTCTAGGTCTATCCACCTCATTACAAATAGCTCAATTTCGTTTCTTTTTATGGCTGAGTAATATTCCATTGTATATATGTGCCACATCTTCTTTATCCATTCATCCGATGATGGACACTTAGGTTGTTTCCATCTCCGGGTTACTGTAAATAAAGCTGCAATGAACATTTGGTACATGACTCTTTTTGAATAAATCTCTTATTAATTATATTGGGCATACTCTTCTCTCGTAGGGGAGCAGACCCCCTGTGGCTGGAACTATTCTGTTTTGGAAAGAAGTTTACAGAATAGCACTAGGGACATAAAAAAAAAACACAATAAATGTGAGTTGAGAAAAAAAGGAAACCAAATCAGAGAAAAATATAAACTCTGAAGTGTTGTCTTTTGCTCTGTGAATTACTGTGACTCAGCATGTTCCTACAGTTTCTCAGAGCTCTGGCTATAACAGCCCTGAACCTTGGTGCAAACACCCTAAGTGCCCAGAAGTTGTTGGTAGGGTGAGAAATGGGTTCACCTCCTCTGCCTACTGGCATGCCTTTGGCCATCTCATCCAATGTCTGCAGTACACGTAGTGAAAATGGATGAGCCACTCCCGGAGGCAAAGATGCCCCTGTCAGTGGTAGAAATTACAATTAACCACTTAGAAATATGCACATTGTTCTATCATTTGATCTTCTCAACAACCTAAAGGCAGTTTGTTATTATTTTGCCATTTAACAGATGAAGAAATAGAGCCTCCAAGAAGTTAGTTCATGTAGATAGTAACAAAATCAGGACCTGAAATCAGACTTTTCTAATGCCATATAAAACCTTTCTCCTACGAGTGCAGGTACCTGAGAAAACGGCTTTTAATCATATTTACAGAGTTATGGAAGTGCAGGAAATACCCTCGCAAAGACCGTTCTCTCTTCACCAAACAGAGAGAATGGCTCAGGGTCACGAAATGAACATCTCATACGTTTTCTCAGAAGGTTCAAGAGCGTGGGAGGCCGAGCCTGGGTGTCTTCAAAGGTTTACACATTGATGATGTGCATCATTATAGCTTCCTTCACTGCCAGCTCGCGAGTTCAAACACTGACAGTGAAAACGCTTCTACCGGAGATGTAAATGACAGAGAACAGGAAAGACTCCTACACTCCAGTCCAAGGATCAGTAAACATCTTCTGTAAAGCGCCACATGGTAAATATTAATATTTTAGGTTTTGTGGGCCATACAGTCTCTGTTACCACAACTCTATTGTTGTGATAAGGAAGTAAGCACAGATAATACATAAACAAATGGGCATAGCTGTGTGCCAGTAAAACTTTATTTACAACAACAGGCAACACAAGCATAATTTGTCAAGCCCTACTCTAGTCAATACTGAGCCATATTGTTAAGCAGTTTTGATTCCATAATCCAATCATTTTACAGTCACATCTCATATACATGCTATTAGTCATATCTATTTTGCCATCTATAAAAGGATATACGAATATATCAAGAGATAGCCATGTGACCTCACTGTTCTGAGGATTAAGTTAATAAAAGTAAGAGTGCCTGGCACACATTAAGTGTTCAAAAATGTAAACTGTCACAGCTGTCATCAATTCTTAATGGAGAAAGTGACAAGAGCATAAGGCAAGCCTTCTACTGCTGGAAATGCCAGGTGCTCTTTTCTATCAGTCGCCTCGAATACAGAACTATACCTGTTAATATACCTGTTTAAAATATAACAGGCCAGGGCTTCCCTGGTGGCGCAGTGGTTGAGAGTCCGCCTGCCAATGCAGGGGACACGGGTTCATGCCCCGGTCCAGGAAGATCCCACATGCCGCGGAGCGGCTGGGCCCGTGAGCCATGGCCGCTGAGCCTGCGCGTCCGGAGCCTGTGATCCGCAACGGGAGAGGCCACAACAGCAAGAGGCCCGTGTACCGCAAAAAAATATATATATATGTAACAGGCCACACACACACACACAAAGACACACATCTTTACACAGATCAGTACCACTTACCTTTTTTTTCCTCCACAGTTTTTACAGAGATGACATTTTTATCCATGGGGTTTGGATACTAAATGAAAACACATAAAGAAAAATTACCATTCTTTTTTTTACCAAAGTGAATTACTTCACAGTAACCAGTTATTTGCAGAAACAGTAAATATTATCCAAGCAATCTCTAAGGCCAGTTTTCAATCAAGAGTCTTAATTTTACTACTTTGGAATAGGTAAGTAGATGCTGTCATCAACTGGACCTGTATGAAATCAGGAGAAACCTTCTTTGGAGTCAACCCAGCTCTGGATGGAGAGGGGGAGGTTAGGTTAAGCTAATTAATAAATAATACTATTAATATTGAACCAGCCTTACATAAATCAAGCGTGTTCTTTGTACGAGGCACTGTGTTGAATGCTTTACTTGCATGATCTTTTCTAAAATCAGCCTCTCTGTTGTGATTGGGACATGGGATATCATTATCCCATCTTTCAGAAACTAAATGGAAACTAAGTAAAATCAGAAAGCTTTGGGTCACCCAGCTGGTTAGTGGTAGAGCCACAAAATTAAATCAGGCCTAGTATCAATACATAGTGAATTCCTTCACTATTGTCCTGTACTATTGCCTGGTGGCTGGGTCAGCATCACAGGAGTATAATCACAGGAGTCTATGCCAGGTGCTCAATAGTTTACTTATGTATATATGTGTATGGCTGAGTCACTTTGCTGTACAGAAGAAACTGGCACAGCCCTGTAAATCAACTATATTTCAATAAAGAAAAAAATACAAAAAAAGTTTATTTATTGATTAAATTCCCCTGAAACACAATTTCATGTTAATAAAAAGCTGACAGGGCTTCCCTGGTGGCACAGTGGTTAAGAATCCGCCTGCCAGGGCTTTCCCGGTGGCGCAGTGGTTAGGAATCCTCCTGCCAATGCAGGGGACACGGGTTCAAGCCCTCGTTCAGGAAGATCCCACATGCTGCAGAGCAGCTAGGCCCGTGCGCCACAACTACCGAGCCTGCACTCTAGAGCCCGCGCGCCTAGAGCCGGTGCTCCGCAACAAGAGAGGCCACCGCAATGAGAGGCCCACGCACGGCAATGACAAGTAGCCCCCGCTCACTGCAACTAAAAAGAAAGCCTGCACGCAGCAACGAAGACCCAATGCAGCCAAAAATAAATTAATTAATTAATAAGAAAGGAAAAAAGAAAACAATCCGCCTGCCAATGCAGGGGACGTGGGTTTGAGCCCTGGTCCGGGAAGATCCCACATGCCACGGAGCAACTAAGCCCATGCGCCACAACTACTGAGCCCGCATGCCTAGAGCCTGTCCTCCGCAACAAGAGAAGCCACCGCAGTGAGAAGCCCGCGCGTGCACCACAACGAAGAGTAGCCCCTGCTCGCCACAACTAGAAAGGTTGCGTGCAGCAACGAAGACCCAACACAGCCAAAAATAAATTTATGAAAAAAAAAACTGATAATAGCTACCATTTTTGTCCTAGGCAGTTTAATATATTATTTCAGTTTAATTCTCAAAACTATTCCATGAGTTACATTCTGGGTTTGTTTTTTTTTTCCCTTTCACTTGTGAGAAATTAAGCTTGGATAAACTTAGTCATTTGCTCAAAATCCCCCAGCTAATGAGCATCAAGACTGTAATTTAGCCACAGATACTTTCTTTTGCCTTCAAGGCCTGCCCACCTAACCTACCCTCAAACACCTCAGTCACTCAAACCCCACCCTTTGCACTGCTCAGATGCAAAAAGAGACTCAGACAGTAGAAGTCCTCAAAGCCAGAGGACAAGCAGGCTGCTGACCAGGCCTGCTGAGCGCCTGTCAGGCTCTATTCCCAGAGGTTTACTGCTTCATCATGCGATCTAATATGAAAGGAAAATCACAGGGAAGTCTTACCCAAAACACCGTAAGGTGCTGAGGGGGAGATGAGAGCAGCGAACAGGCTCGGGGGGGGGGGGGGGGGGGGGGGCAAGGGACAGGGCCCTCCACTTGGTAAGCTTGAGCTTTAAGTCTTCTGAACCCAGGAAATGGTCTACAAAACTCAGTGAGCAGGGCTCTTCCCCACCCCACGGCAGCTCTGTGTCTGCATGCATCAGTTTGTATAAGAGGTTGACTGACTGATTTTTCAGGGAAAAGGATCCATCACTTTTACATATTGTTACAGATATCTGTGGCCCCAAAAGACCTGGGATAAGAACACAGACTCTGCAAGAGCAGGAAGTCTGTATCTCCACCAGCCAGCTCAGCGTCTGGCACAGAGCAGGCACTCAATGAATATTTGCCGAATGAATGAACAATCTGGAAGACAAACCTTGCTGACCTCCGGGACCAATGTGGAAACTAAACCTTACTCCCTTCGAGGACCAGGGGAACCAATCTATGAAGGGAGCAGTGGGCTCAGTCCTTGGCATCCTCAACACCACATCACACCCCATGCCGTAAACTCTGCCAGTCACACTCCCATCCGGGCAGCTGCAATCTTGATAACAAATCAACAACTTGCCTTTTTGTTTGTTTGTCTGTTTGTGGCCACACGCTTGGCTTTTAGGATCTTAGTTCCCCGACCAGGGATCAAACCCAGGCCCCGGCAGTGAAAGCACCAAGTCCTAACCACTGGACTGCCAAGGAATTTCCCAGCATGGCTGTTTAAATATTTATGTATTCATTCATTCATGTTTGCTCCAGAAAAAAATGCTCAAAATTACAATGCTTGTTTTCTTGAAGTTTAACCTTCAGTATTTTTTTAAGGATAATGTCCATCACAGGGGGTCAGGTTTAGCTGTTCTGTCCCTCAGCGAGGGGGCTTCACTGACACAACACCCTTGAAGTGAGGGAGACATCTGAGACTCACACAGATGCCTTTAATTCTTATTGTGTGTGTGTGTGTATAGAAATCAGAACTTTTATACTAAGGTAAAATGAGAGTATGAGAATATTGCCTCTACTACAGTTCTATTTTACTCATTTTATTATATTCATCAATACATCCTGACTGACTATTATAAATACACTGTAAGCTGTAGGAAGATGACTGAACTAAATTATGAAAGAGGTTGGAAACATAATCACCAGAGAAGGCTAATGATAAAAAGTTCCCAAGTTCTGATTACTTCACAAAGTTATCAGTGAAATTCCTAAAGATTATAAACTCAAATGCTTTACTCACGCTTTTATATAACTTTAATATCTGCTTATTAGGGTGAAGGGTATTGATTTAAATAATAGTGACGCTATTCTTCACTTAACAGTTTTCCGACTACCTAGGCACTGTTCCAGGCACTAGGAACAGAGTAATGAAACAAACAAAATTGTAGCCTCTTAGAGAGTTTACACGTTAGTCAGAAAAACAAAAAATAAAATATATAAGGCGAAAATAAATCAGACTAAGGGATAACAGGGGCTTGGGAAATCATGAAGAGGAGCCATTGTAAAATACTTAAGGGTTACTCATTAGACAATTCTTGCAAATTACAAAGTAAAATGGAAGTTGCCTCAGCCAAACACAAGAAATCCTAAGCTATTCACTCTAGTAAACTCATTTGCAAGATTCAAGGCATTTTCCTATGCAACTACTTTTGGAGTTGAAGAGACGTGAGCCTCGAGTCTCCTTCCATACGAGAATGGAAAAAGAAATCAGAGGTTTATTTACAATAGCTAAATACCATGACATGAAAGGCATATATTTTAACTTCTTTTAAAATAAAGATTTATTGTGCTGAGGCGCCCCCTACCTGGCATTACTCAAAATTTTCTGACACCATATTGCGGTAACTTGAATATTCATGATTGAATTCACAAAAATGTATCTGAAGTCAGCTAATACGGGGTCGAGAGAGGGAGGGCTGCTCAGAGAGGGTCACCACCAGGAATGCCAATTGGGAAGACAGGAAGCAGGTAACCAGGTTTTTCTGGACACCTGTACAAACACAGTGTGACAGTGGAAAGGGTTAAGCTAGATCAGGATCAAGCCCATCAAAGACTTAATTGCACATCTACTTTGCTCGTGCAGAGTGCCGTATTAGAGGTCACCATATGTATTATCTCATTTTGTCCTCCTCAAAATGAGTAAATCTCTTAACAAGTGTTAAGGAGTCTCCATGTTAAAAACATAATGGCATAAGACCTGCACACGAGCAGGGCAACCCTGGGATCTTCCGGTCCCCGCTCCACACTAGTGGCTTTCATGGAAGCAAAGTGGACTCATGACCCAAATATCTACCAAAAACCCTTGCCATCCTTGGACCTCAATCAGTGGACCACAAACTGCAGTGGCTAATAATTACTGCACAGGGCTCTGCACATTTGCCATACTTTCTGGGTGACACAAGGGATTTTTCAAGGTATATTTGAGTTCATTCTGAATTTACTTATAATTTTTACATTCTTCACAGAATGTATAAACTAATCCCTTCCCTTTCCCCAAGACATAAATGTGTTGCAAATATCACTGCTTATATTATATGTATGTAACAGTCTAACAAGAGTAAAACATAGACTCTCCTACACTGTCATATACCTTGCTTTCATGTGTTTTACATATTAAAAGGCAAGAGGCCAAAAATTTCAAAATAATGGGTAAAAAACAAAATACACATTAAAACAAATACATAGCTATGAAGAGTGAGAGGTCAAGAAATAGAGTCCATCTAACTACAGGAATAACATTCAGTATATTTCTGGGAGTAGGTCCATGAAGATAGGGTATATTTACGTTTCTTATTTACAGGGGGAAAATATAATAAGCTTTCATAAAGCCGACTCTTAAGAGAGTAAGGAGTTATTAACATATCAACTTTCCAGGACTTCGGTGGTCCAGTGGTTAAGACTCCAAACTCCCTATGCAGGGGGCCAGGGTTCGATCCCTGGTCAGGGAACTAGATCCCACATGCATGCCGCAACTACGACCTCATGCAGCCAAATAAATAAATAATTAATATTTTTAAAAATAGAAAGGGGCTTCCCTTGTGGCGCAGTGGTTGAGAGTCCGCCTGCCGATGCAGGGGACACGGGTTCCTGCCCCGGTCTGGGAAGATCCCACATGCCGCGGAGCGGCTGGGCCCGT